ACCCCCCGCCACTGCCCCCGCCGCTTCCCCCGCCGCCGCCACCATTGCCATTCCCGCGGTACGTGTTCCCTTCCCCCCCGCTGCCCCCGCCGCCCCCGCCTCCGCTCCGACGGTCCCCTGCCCCGCCGAATGCCGGCGCCAGCGGCGCCAGTGGCATGAGCAGGTGTGTGTGGGTGAACTGCGGCAGCGGGATTTCACCCAACTGCATCCCCCCCGTTGTCCCCCCACCCCCAGCTTTCTCCTGCTCCGCCAGCGCCCTCGCAGTTACCACTGCGGTCCACTCCTCGAGGTCCGTGTTGAGTGCCCGCATGAATGCCTCGCGGAACCGCCACCCCCGTGTCAAGAGCCCATCCGCCGCGAAGTAGCGCCGAACTGTGGTCACCATGCCGGCCAGGTGCGCCGTTATCCCAGAAGTCCTAAACCGGGCTTCGCGGTCAGCAGGGTCCACGGTATCAGACGCCAGATACCCTATCAACTCGAAAAGGGCCTCCACGCGGCGGTCCAACTCCATGTCCACGTCCATCAGTCCCCCCCCCGTATGTTTTGGTCGAAAAACGCTGCACCTCCAACCCGGCCATGGCCGCGATCTGCGCCGCTCCCTCCCCATCCGTCCTGAATTCCCAGGCCAGCACCTGCACGTCCTTGGCTGTTCCGAACGGCAACTCTTTACCATCCCCTCGATAAACGTCCAGATGGCCACCGCCCTCCCCCCCTCCCGGTACTTCTTCTCCGCCGCCGACATCTTGGGGCCGGTCAGCCTCTCCCCGTAACTCGGCGTACTCCGCAGCAGCCCCCCACCCAGCAGCCCCCCACCCCGCTCCCCACTCCCCCCCCCCCTTCCAACCCGGTGTTCCATAGGTACCCCCCCCCCGTGGGGCCCACTGGTTGCGCCAGCCGCTGCTGCTGTTGCTACTGCTGCTGCTGCTGGAATAACTGATTCTGCTGCACCATGNGCGTACGTGACGGACCCCGGCGGCTGACGTAAGTAGACTGGTCGTACCTAACTACCATTGGGGAATTGGAACGCGTCTGCCTAGGTCTTGAGTGGCGCGCTCTCCCCCCTGAGTACGCGGACGGCGATAGACGTGACTCAATCCTTAACGTCCCCGTGCCCTCTACACTGGTCACCCGTCGCTCATCCTGGCTCAATGACCTCCTCCTCCCACCTCCGCCCCTCTGCGGCGAGCCCCCGTCCTCTCCCCTTGCTTGGCCCCGCCATCTGCCTTGCTCTTTCTCCTCCTCGTCGTGGCGCCACATCGGTGTCAACGTCCCAAGCCTTACCGTATTCGGCATGGGACCCCGCGCTCGGCAGCAGGATCCCGGCTCCCGCGCTCAAGCGCCGGGTCGGCCGACGTTGAAAAAAAAGACGAACCGACAATGCTCTTGCTCTCTTTCTCTGTCTGTCTCCTCCCTTCCTTACAGTCGCTTCCTTCTTCTGCTTCCTCTGTCTCTCTTCTACTCCCCCTCTTGTTTGCTTGTTGTCTTGCTCCTTTGCGTTCAGATGTTTCTTCTGTTGTGAGCAAGGTGCATCTCTTTCCTTTTTCTTTTCTTTTCGTTATACATACATACCTATCAATTCCGGCTTACCTACGGTGCCCCCTTTATCTTTCTAACCGTTCTGACAAAACACGAGGTTGTACAACACAACCTCCTACTACTGCGTATGCATACATGTATTTGTACGGCATACACACGCAGCCAAGTGGCAACCATGGCACTTCTTCTGTAGATGCGTAGATACAGCAGTACGCAATTCGACTGCCAACTGCCAACTTTGGACTTCTGTAGATACGTAATTCGACTGCCAACCATCGTCGCTGTACAGGTCATACGCCTGCACTTTCCGTCTACTTGTCGCACACACACAACACCCAAGCTGCTGAGATCATGCACGCCCGGCTTGTCGCCTTCGCGGCTATCCTTCTCCTGTTCGCGTCGACTCCGGCTTTGAAGAGGAACGCTCCCCTCACAAAGCCCTGCCGGCACGAAAAAATTATGCGTCCACCCCAGCAACGACCCACTTCTTTGCGTTCGGAACGGACTCCGGCGGCAATCCTCTCCCTGATGAATCCGTGTTACTCCTCGGAGGCGGTACGCGTCAGGCCGGGCTAGCAGCTGTGCGGGCAAGTCGTTCCGCAATGCGTACGAACGAAACCGCCTCTGCGCGCGCCAACGCCCTCAACTTATGTCAGCAGAGGGCGAACAAGAGAGCCAAGCACTTCCTCAACTATTGTCATTTTATCGGGTGGGACTTGTGTCCGTTTTATGATTGCCCGACCTCGACATATTTTAGCGCCTTCATTCTCCTCGTCGTCCTTCACTAGCACCTGGTACATACGTACTACTGTCCACGAGGTTTCGTTTCCTTATCTGGTCGGACAGCCTTGATTTACCGCTTTTTTTTCAACTTCAATTTCGACTTCATTTTTCCTCGTGTGTTTGACTGGGCGGACCTTAGTCCACTTTGCCCTTGCGCGTGTATGACTCATCTTGGCGCCTGGCCCTGCCTGTTTTCTGGCTTCTTTTGCGGTTTGCCGTTTGGTTGCGGTATTCGTCGTGCTGCAGACATATGCCGGGACCATCACAAAGACGTTCCACCACATCTGTCTTCGCTTTCACACTAATATCCCATCGGGGCTACCCTTGGTCATTCTCTCCCGTACTTTCTTGACGACCGGAGAAATAAGTGTGGTTCACGCTTCCCCGTCTACCCGGCAAAGCGTAGCCTTGCCGATCCTCATCT